TTTTTTTTTTGTCTTTTACTTCTCTCTACCCACTATTACCCAATCCCTAAAAGTTCGTGCCACGTGGCGAAATAGCAATCAAGGCCGCCAAAATTGCTACGTAGACACTTATCGCCGGTAACTTACAACCACTTGTTTTCCCGAAACTGCGACTTCCCCAAAAACTCACACCACTCCACTGCCGGCTTAACGCCACCAGAGACGATCCTCTCTCCGCCGCTTTCTATGACTTCGATTCTCAACACCTTCTCCTCAATCCTCGCCTCCAGAGTTACCTCCGTCGACCGAGTCGGAGTTCTCTCTCTCCGGAATCCCGATTCCATCGAATTCACTCGCCCGCGTTCCGTTTTGTCGACGTTGGACTTCGAATCGTCTGGTACATTCCATTCCCTTAAGTTTGGTTTGCTTGTAAGGTCTTCAAATTTTGACTGATTTTCAATTTGTGTTCGTAGGGCGGAGATTTGTTGTGCGTGCGGCGGAGACTGATACCGATGAAGGTTTATAGCTTTTTTTTTTGAGTTTTTTCCTTTTTTTCTTGGAGTCGTTTCGTTAGAGTTTAACTATGTTTTACGCTGGTGGGTTTGAATCTTCGCCGCAGTAAAATCTCAGGTACCGGACAAGGCACCACCAGCCGGTGGTTCGAGCATTAACCAGCTTCTGGGTATCAAAGGAGCATCTCAAGAAACTGTAATTTTGTTCATCTTCTTGTACTCGATAGATTTTTCTTAAATTTGGGTCTGCGTGTATCACAATTGATAGAAATGAGGACAAAATCATCATATTCATGTGTACTTGCATAGTTTAGATGTTTACAATCGAGCTAATCTCTGTGGAGTTGATACTGAATACTTAAGTTATTTAGCTAATGGACATATTTTTCAACTGGAAGATTAAAGGATTTAGTTGTTTCACTGATTTTGTGTTCAGAATAAATGGAAAATTCGTCTTCAGCTTACAAAGCCAGTGACCTGGCCTCCATTGGTGTGGGGTGTGGTCTGTGGTGCTGCTGCTTCAGGTAAAATATCAACTTCTTTTGGATGAACAAAATACTGTCATGGAGTTTTCCAGAGAATGTACTCTCAAACAAACTTTCCTTCAAACTGTTCCTTCTGGCAGGGAACTTCCACTGGACCCCAGAGGATGTTGCTAAGTCGATTCTTTGCATGATGATGTCTGGCCCATGTCTTACTGGCTATACACAGGTCTAGTTTCGCAGAACAATAAATCTGAGTTGTTCTTATGGTAGTGCATTTTCTTAGAGCTATATAACCTAGCTGTGTCTATTTCCAGACAATCAACGACTGGTATGATCGAGATATTGATGCAATTAATGAGCCATATCGCCCAATTCCATCCGGAGCAATATCAGAGCAAGAGGTACTAATACTGAACATTATTTTAAACTTTTAACCATTGGTTTCTTGACACTGATTTCTCCTTCTTGTTTGCAACTCCTTAAATGCAGGTTATTACACAAGTCTGGGTGCTATTACTTGGAGGTCTTGGAATTGCTGGATTCTTAGATGTGTGGGTGAGTTGGCGGTTTTGATGTAACTAGTACTGTTAGAGTAGCGCATCAGATTTACTAAACCTTCCCTTTTCAGGCAGGACATACCAGTCCCACTTTGTTCTATCTTGCTTTGGGAGGATCATTGCTGTCTTATATATACTCTGCTCCACCTCTTAAGGTAAGCTCTCTGTATTTAATTTCCACTGCTGTTGTAACAAGACATTCTGTGTCCTCTCGTTGATTAAAGAAGATAAGATGGAGTTTAGAACTTATCAATATACCAATGGATCACTTTGCAGCTAAAACAAAATGGATGGGTTGGAAATTTTGCACTCGGAGCAAGCTATATCAGTTTGCCATGGTAAGATCTCTAGTGAATCTTTCCATGGCATGTATTCATCTCATTGATGTGTTTTTTGTTCACTTGATTTATAGGTGGGCTGGGCAAGCATTGTTTGGCACTCTTACACCAGATGTTGTTGTTCTAACACTCTTGTACAGCATAGCTGGGGTACTCTTCTTGCAAACTTTTATGATGTTATCTTTGGTAATTAATATTCTGGTTTTGCTTCATGTACATGTGTAATACTGCAGTTGGGAATAGCTATTGTTAATGACTTCAAAAGTGTTGAAGGAGACAGAGCAATGGGACTTCAATCTCTCCCTGTAGCTTTTGGCACTGAAACTGCAAAATGGATTTGCGTTGGTGCTATAGACATTACTCAACTCTCTGTCGCTGGTATGTAGAGTTTTTGTGAGTGCATGAGTTACACAGTAAGTGTTATAGGTTTATAGCACCAAATAAAAAGAAGAGATCATCACAAAGTAAATGTATAATTTGGTTGCAGGATATCTGTTAGCATCTGGCAAACCTTATTATGCATTGGCGTTGCTTGCTCTGATCATTCCACAGATTGTGTTTCAGGTAAAGAAAAATGTATGAACAATGATATTCAAATTAACTACATACTTGTCACTCAGTCTGATTACGACAATCTTCTTGGAAATTGCAGTTTAAATACTTTCTCAAAGACCCTGTCAAATACGACGTCAAGTACCAGGTAAGTGCTCGTAGTAATGGAAACTCGTAGAATTGCTGATAAATAGAATTTTGTCTCATTTTGAAATATGGAAAGAAGCTTGGAAGGTGATTGGTGTTTTTTAATAAGATTACACTCCTTGAATTACAGGCAAGCGCACAGCCATTCTTGGTGCTAGGCATATTCGTAACGGCATTAGCATCAAGTCACTAAGAACGGCGTATTTCGAGGGAGTTTTGGCGAACACAAAATGTGCTAGTGCAAACCATAAATGTGGAAAAAGTGATGGCATCGACCAGGTCTAAGATATTGTAGAATGTATGCACCGTCACTAGAAACAACTCTTGTTGTAACACTTGAACCGAGTACCGTGAGGAATTGTNGTCGTTGTGTATCATATTCCGTGGTGATCATTGGCGCGTATGTGATATCTTTATATATTTCCGTCTCTTCTAGGATTCGGGTTTATGTTAGTCCGAGTATTTTCAACACTTCACGTCTTGATTCAACACGTCAATTTTCATTCATTTTAGAACATTAGAAAATCGAAATTGGAGTATCATCCGTAACTCCCAATGGTTTCTAA